CCAAAACGTGCCTCATCGACAAATAGGACTAGGTCTCCTTGGACAAAATCCATTTCATAACATTTGGAGTCGATCTGTCAGTCTGGCTGTCTGGTGCGTACAATAACTCGATACTCGTATCCGATTCGGTCCAAACTTGGTACATCGTAAAGGTCCCACAAAAGGTCGTAATTTTCAAAAATTAAAAAGAAAGACATTTTACTGCACAGAAATGGAAATTATAATCCAATTTGGATCCGCATTTGCAAATTCTAGTAATTGCATCAGTTCTAGGTCAGGTACGAAAATGTACAATGTCGGTCCACATCATCAAGTAAATCTCCCATAAATGGTCAACATTTTGAATAAATATAGCTCCTATAAAATGTGATAGTTTTATTAACCCAAAGTCTGGTTTGAAGATGGATGGAGGGCACCCATATAGCCCACCTTTTGGTACCTCCCACAGAGGTTCAAAATTTAAATATCCATGAAATTCATAAAGAGCGAAATTGACGTCCGATTCCATTCAAACTTGGTACATCTCAATACTTCCATCAACAAGATATGTTATAAAGATGGTAGAGATCGGTACCTGCCCCACAAAGGTTCAAAGTTTTGAATAACCAAAACGACTATAAAATCCGAAATGAGCATCCGGTTCTCTTCATATTTCACACATCCCATTACTTCTACTAACACAAGATTTGCTATGAAGATGGAATATATCGGTACACTGCTTCTGCTACCTCCCCCATAGAGGGTCATCGTTTTAAATATCCATGAAGCTCATAAAGAGCGAAATTGACTTCCGATTTCACTCAGACTTGGTACATCTCAATACTTCCATCAACACGAGATATGTTATAAATATGGTAGAGATCGAATCATTCCTTGTGGTACCTGCCCCACAAATGCTCAAAATTTTGAATAACCAAAATGACTATAAAATCCGAAATAAGCATCCGGTTCTCTTCATATTTCACACATCTCATTACTTCTACTAATACAAGCTATGTAATGAACATGGAATATATCGGTCCACTCCTTCTGGTACCTCAAATTTTGAATATGAATCTATGAAGCTCATAAAATCCGAAATTAACATCCGATTCCATATAGACTTGGTAATTTTCAATCTTTCCAACAACACCAGATCTGTTATATAGGGTTGAAGATTTGGAAAAAAGGAACACTCAAAGAAAGTGAACTCTCTTCAAATTTCACACATACAGACATCTTTGCTAACGCAAGATCTGTTGAGAAAATGATATATATCTGCGAACCACTTCTGGTAAATCACCCACAAAGTTGCAATTTTCAATACTTTTATCTGTCATAACTCGCGAAACAAGTAAGCGATTCTTTACAACTTTCTGTATCTAAATATTTTTCTCAACCAAAAACCTGAAATGAATATGGAACTTATGATTTCACATAAAATTGAAGGTAGATTCGATGGATATTATGAGTTACTTAAATGTTTTTTTCCAACTAGCCCATATATCAATAAGATCCAATGTTTAAAAAAATCACTTCAAATTGAGTTCAAAAATCCTTTGATGTCTGTTTGCTTTTTTCTCCACTTTCTAAAGTTCCTCATCTATTACGAAAAAGTTCTTAGCGGGCGAACCCAATGAGGAAGTGTACATTTTTCAGCGACAGCAAAAAAATACAGCCAACAACCATGAAATAGGACACCAAAGTTTAAAACACGCATAAGCATGCAGAAGACACAGACACAGCAACACCAATCATCTAAATGAGTGCTAGTGACAGTTTAAATGCCGCTGACACCATGACAAAGCGAAGTAGAGGATGGATGGAATGAAAAAAAGTGGCGTAGATTGGATGATGGTGTTGAAGCTGGTGTTGTTACGTTTGTCTCATTAAAATTCACTTAAATAAACGCACAAATGTTAGACGCTCATTATTTTTTCATTTATTCATTTGTTGTGCGAAAGTTGCTCGCTATCTTCTTTCTTCCTTTGCTTAACGCTAAGTTATTTGTGTTACCAACGCAATGGAAACTTGTAACACACGTTTCAGTTTATTGGTTGAAGTCATTTTTTCTTTATATTTTGCTTTGTGATAGAAAATTCCCTTTTAGAAGCTGCGAGATTTCTTTTTCTTTTCAAGGAGGAGGGGAGGATGTGGTATTCCTAAAGAGGGGGCTATAGGGGAAGCCACTGCAAAAAAATTAACACAAAATGTAAAAAATGTGACCGAATTTACATTTTTAGTGCACATAGAGATTTCTGCCGTAATTATTTAAGCCAATTTAAATAAAATCGGAGAGGGGTCAGGAAATCGGAAAACTATAATACCTCTGAATTTCAATTTTTTTTTTTTTGTAAATTCATTCTAATGTGCGTTTAAGCGCTTAAATATTTATTTCAAAAGAAAAATTGTAAAATCTAGACGGCTTTTTGATTTAATTCACGTTGGGCGCCACAGAAATACAATATCGAGCATTTTGTGTTTTTTACAATACAACGAGTTATTTGTGCCTATAGAAACTCACTAGGCTCCAGCTCATCGAAATAGACTCCCTATGACACAGTTCATCGGAGTAGACTTCCAAATTTTTGGAGTATCGCAAAAAAAAAAAGAACAAATTAATTTAACTTACGTTGGGCGCCACCGGAAATTGATTTTTTTTTACTTGGCGGACTTAAGCTCTTCGAAATAGAATTTATGTCGCCTCCTTAGGCTTCAGCTCATTAAAACAGGCTGTGTTTCAATTCTAGCTTCTCTAAATAGACTCCATGGACTCCAACGGGTCTAAACTGGACTCCAACTTATTTTAATAGACTACCTGGAATTTAGTTGTCGAAATAGAGACCAAGAGCTTCAGGTTGTTGAAATAGACTCCCTGGTATAAGCTTGTCAAAATAGTCCCACTGGGCTATGTTGGTCTAAGCAAACTCTCTGTGTTCCAGCTGGTCTAAATAGGATCCCTGATATCTAGTTGATCTAAATAGACTTCCTGAGATAAAGCTGGTAAATCGAGTTCATAGGCTTCAGATCGTTAACGCAGCTTCCCTGCTCGTATGTTTACCTAAATAGACTCCCTGAGTTCCAGCTGGTCTGAATTCGCTCCCTGGGCTCTACCTTATCTAAATAGACTTCTTGGGATCCATAGAGTCCCTGGGCTTCAGGTCGTCGAAATAGACTCCCTAAGTTTAAGGTTGTCAAAATAGCATCAAACTATTTCTCCATGGGTTCCAGTTCGTCGAAATAGATTTCCTGGGCCACAGCTCTTCTTTATGCATTTCCTGGGCGTAAGCTGGTCTAAATAGACTTTCATCAAAATAGGCTCCCTAGACTCTAGCTGGGTTTTATAGACACCCTGGACTTATAGAATCTCTGGGATCCAGATGGTCTAAATTTTGCTTCCCGGGCTGCAACTGGTCTAAATAGTTTGCCGGGAATCAAGCTGGAGTAAAAATACTACATAGCTGGTACAGCTGGTCCAAATAGACTTTCATGAACTCTATCTGGTCTTTATAGGTGACTTGCGCTCCAAACGGTCTAAATATACTACATAGGATCCAGTTGGTTTAAGTATGCTGTCTGAGCTACATGTCGTCTAATATACTCCAGAGGGTGCTAGCTCGTCTAAATACACCCCTTGACCGTAAATTGGTCTTAAAAGACTTCCAGATCGTCAGCTCATCGGAATTAACTCCCTGTGTTTTATCTCGTCTAGAGCGACTGTCCTAGCCTATGCTTATCTGCAGCGACTCCCTAGGTCTCCCGGCTCCCTGAGCTCCAGATCTTTTATATCGACTCCTTCCTCTGCTCTAGCTCGTTTACAAAGACTAGCAGACGCAGAGCTCATCTAAAGAGACTGTCTGTCCTTTCACTTCGCCCATGAAGACTCCCTGCCCGTTTAGCTCTGTAGAATACCCATTTGTGCTTCTGATTTTCTTTTCAGTACATATGTGGATACGACCTCGGCCTTAAACCCATCTTTGGAGACTCCAAAGTCTCCCAGCTCATCTTATTTTTTCCTAGGCCCATTAGCTCGCCTATAAAGACTCGTCTGGCCTTCAGCCTATAAAGATTCGTATATCCTGCAAAGTCGATTATAAATTCCAAAACCTCGTCTATATAGATTTCCTGATCCATCAGCTATGCCTATAGAGAATCCAAGGCCAGCGGCTCTTCTAATATAATCATCACTTTCTTCCGTTTTTCAAGACTAACTCAGTCCGTTTATAAAAACTTCTTTGAGCCCTCTTCATCTCGTTGTTTACAAAGAATGCCTTTGATTTGTCTTTAAAGATTATCTTCAGTTTTTCTGTATTTTTTTTTTTTTTTGTTTCAAATTTGATTTCCTCTGACGCTATGGAATCCCCCACAACTCGTACTCCCTTCCACCCATTGCCCACATCCTGTACATACCCATACTAAGTTTTTACAACATCCGTCTTTTTGTGTCATAGCACAATTATTTTGTGCCACTGCTTAAGAGAATTGTAGGCCGATGACAGGACGAGAGGCGAGGATGAGAAGTACCTCATTCCTCGAAACCAAGAGAAAAAATGCCGGTTTTGGCCAAAAGCAGTTGTAGGACTTGCGTACAGACAAACAAGTAACCAAGATTAGTTGGAAACGGAAGTTGGTTAAGTAAAAGTTTACAGTTTCGGTTTTGTTGTCTTTTGTGTTTGCGAAACTTTTGAGCAAACGCTTGACAAACTTCGCGAACAAAAAACAACAATAACCAACTAGCTGACACTGATGGTTGCGATGACAATGTTTTGATAATGGCGGGGCGTTGGAGCCATACTGATTCCGGTTAAAGATAACAATCATAATGAAGATGATGATGGCCCGGTACATGGTGATGTTGTTGGCATTTTTTGAAGCTGGTATTTTGGGCTATTGATTCTTGTCAAGTGGAGGTGGCAAGGTGGGGAAAAGTGGTTTCCGATTTCTTAAGTTCATGATGATGCTTGTAGAATATTAAAAATTTCCTTTCAATTTTTCTGTTTTGTTTCTGTTTTTCTTTGCAGATCCACCTTTGGTTACCTTGCGCCTGGGCTCAACACTTTCACCCGATGACATTAAAGAAGGTGACGATGTCTATTTTGAGTGTCACGTACAATCGAATCCTCAATGGCGTAAACTTTTATGGCTCCATAATGTAAGTACTTGATAGCATTTGCAAAATTGCTGCTGCGTGTTTTCACTTTCCATGGCGTGGCTCTGTAAAAGATTAACCCCTCCTCCATAGCTTCTCTTTAAAATTCAATTATAAAAATGGTTTAGCATTGAAAAAATAAAAACTAAACGGGGGAGTAAGAAATGCCATTGCCACAAAACGTTTTATTCATTAAATACAGATTTTGTTGAATAAAGTTTTGTATTTGACGGACAAGCTTTGATATCACTTTAAGGGATTTTAGAGGTTATTATACTTTTTTTAACAGTGAGGAATGTTGGAAGACCAGTTTAGGGAAAATTTTGTGTTGAATTTTCTATCAATTTGTTTAATATTAAAGTCATTTTTTCAAAAGATCCACGTTGGGCGCTATTTGATTTAAAACAACGGTTATTGGAACATTTATATCAAGTTGAAAGACTTGAATTTGAACTTTCCAAATTTTTTGAGGTTTATAACCTGCGTTGGGCGCCAGTTAGAGTCTGTTTAAGTTTTTAAATATATAGCGAGCTTTTAGTACTAATACTAAGAGGTTTTGGAGAATAGTATGGAATTTTGCATACAACCAAATTAGGCCTGAAAATAAGTATGCCAAATTTGATCAAATCGGTTCAAATATAGCTATAGCTCCTATATATATTGCTCATCCGCAGCCGTAATATGCACTCTGTAACAACAATATTTGGGGAAACATATCAAATACAGCTCAGAAATACATTTGCTAAATTTTATCGAGATCGGCTCAGATTTTGGATATAGCTTCCATATATATCTTCGTCCGATTTACCTTTTATTGTGCACCAAAAGTCTAATATTTGTCCAAATGGGATGGAATTCGACACATACGACCGAATTGAGTCTAGAAGGTAGTATGCCAAATTTGGTGGAGATCGGTTCAGATATAGCTATTGCTCCCATATATATTGTTCATCCAACTTGTTGTATTTGTTGCCCACAGCCGTAATATGCAATCCGTAACAACGATATTCAGGGAAATATATCAAATGCAGCTCAGAAATATCTTTGCCAAATTTTATCGAGATCGGTTCAGATTTGGATATAGCTCCCATATATAACTTCGTCCGATTTACATTTTATTGTGCACCAAACGTCTAATAGTTGCCCAAATGGGATGGAATTTGGCACATACGATCGAATTGAGTTTAGAAGGTAGTATGCCAAATTTGGTGATGATCGGTTCAGATATAGCTATAGCTCCCATATATATTGTTCATCCGATTTGTTGTATTTGTTACCCACACCCGTAATATGCACTCCGTAACAACGATATTCAGGGAAATATATCAAATACAGCTCAGAAATATCTTTGCCAAATTTTATCGAGATCGGTTCAGCTTTTGGATATAGCTCCCATATATCTTTATCTGATTTCAAATTAATTTTGCGCCAAATGGGCATAGTTAGTTCTTTGAATTTTAAATTATAATTATAATCATAGGGTGTATGATTGAATTCTCCCATAAAAACTTTTAATTCTTATGTGGAGCTCAACTAAATTAGCAAGTGGTGTAGGGTACCATAAAATCGGCCCCGCCCGACTTTAGGACTTTCTTTACTGGTTTGGAGTTTCACGTTGGGCGCCATTGAAATTCGAAGCATATCAATATTCATCATCGTTAAAACAGTTTCTGTAACACTTATATCAGATTACAAGTCTTAAATCGGACTTAATGTTAACTACTACCAAATCAGTTTTGTATTTCAAACCTAATTTGAAAGAGGTCCATGTTTGGCGCCATTTAATTTTGAGCCACATAAAGATTCCGGAAACAATTATATTAGGTTAAGAAAAAGAGTAGATCAGGCAAATATCAAAAGTATTTTTTACAGTTCTACGTTGGGCGCAATTTTAATACGAACAAGGGTTCCTAAAACATTTATATCAGGTTGAAAGACTTTAATCGGACTCTTAAAATCTATGGGTTTAAAACCCCGCATCAGGTGCCAGTTAGTTAAATATATAAATGTGCCATCTTATATCGAGATGATTTGGCGTAACAAATTTCATATTTTCCCCTGATAAGGTTTGCGCCATGTGTTGGCCGCCAGAAAAACCTCAAACTGATTTGCGTCCTATAAAAGCAAGTTAGGTTAGTATTTGAAGTCTTATTTTCAAGTGCTCCACTTTGGGCGCCATTTAATTTTGAACTATTATGCGATTTAACCCCACTAGGCTTTTTTGTGGGGCTATGTTAAAATTCCATTGGAAGACAACATTGTAGCATATATTCTTGAGATACCGGCCGAAATGTTGGAAGACCTATTCCAAATTCCGACTTAGCGGATGGACCATTTGAGACGCTGTCAACGTTTGCATGAAGTAATCTTCAAGCATTACACTATATTGACCGTACAATCAATTTGAAAAAAAAAAATTTCATGTATTTTTCTGTATTCAAACCTTCTAAGGAGTTCATATTGGGTGCCATTATGGGCGCCACGGACCACAAATTGTTCTTTTCTTCGTATTTAGAAAAGAATAATTAATCGACGGTCAAAACGATTGGAAGTCATTAGTTTTGTAGTCCGACCCTTCAAATCAATTATGAGATTTGAACGCCATGTTGGGCGCCATCTAGAATTATCTGAAAAAGTCTCTTTAAGAAACTTATATCAGGTCTAAACCTTGGATCATCTGATCATTTATACCTAAGTTTAGCCTTGAACTACATGTTGGGCGCCAGATTTTGCATTGTTATAATAATTTACGGAGTTACAGATATAAAATTAGGTGGTTACTAAAATCAGTTAAATGAGGGGATTTCAAACCACTTAAGGTGGTATGAATCCCATTTTGGGCGCCAGCTAGAATTTATTTAAATATTTAACATAAAGTCTCTTTTAGTAAATAGTATCAGGTCTTAATGGATAGAGGTTTACGTCTCGGAATCTTATTGTTTACATATAAGTTTAATTTTAAACCCCACGTTGGGCGCAAAATATTGAATTTGGGAACCAAAAGAAGTTTGAAATATTCCGATTTGATGGAAATATAATTATTTTCTGAGTCTACAATAAAAAATTAAGTTGCTGCCAAAATTAGTTTAACGAGGGAAAATCAAACTAATTTTGAATATTAGAACCCCATGTTGGGCATCAGCTAGAATTTATTTAAAAAGAATTAAAATAAAATATCTAGCACTTATATCAGCTCCTATTTTTCAGAGGTTTATGTCTTGGATTCTGATTGTTTATACCTAATTTTAGCATTTAGTCCTACATTGGGCGCCAGATATTGCATTGGGATTAAATTGGAGTTAAGTTAGTAATTAATTATTTACTGATGTACAGATAAAAAGCTTAGGTCATTACTAAAGCTATTTTAACCAAAGAATTTCAAATGAAGTATGCAGGTTAGAACCCCATGTTGGGCCCCAGGTAGAATTCAGCAAATAATTTAGCATACCGTTTTTTGGACAACTCATATCTGGTCTTAATAGTAAGAGATTTGAGTCTTGCATGCATAACGAGCGAATTTCAAACCAAGAATGGAGTTTTGAACTCCATGTTGGGCGCCAGTTAGAACTTTCTTAAACATTTAAGAAGCAGTCTGTGTTCGCAACTTCCATTAGGTCTTAGTGGTTATAGGTTTAGGTCTTGGTTTCTAACTGTTTATGTCTTAGTTTGGCTTTAAACCCCACGTTGGGCGCCAGATAGTGCACCGGGTCCAAAAGAAGTTTTAAATATTCAGACTTGATGGATATATATATTTATTTTATTAAATTACAGATAAAAGAGTCTCAGGGTCAAACTAAAATAAGTTTAAGGAAAAAAATTTCAAACCAACTATGAGTGTTTAAAGCCCGAGTTGGACGCCAGCTTATCGCTTTTAGCAACTTATATAAGATCTTAATGGTTAGAGGTTTAAGCCTTGGATTCTGATAGATTTTACCTAAGATTAGCTTAAAACCCCATATTGGGCGCCATATATTATGAACCAAATGAAAGTCTAAATATGTAGACCTGATAAAAAAAATGTTTGATTTTTTATTAATTTATTTATTCCTTACTTTATTTATAGACCATGGGTGAAAGATAAATAAATTCAGGTTGTTAATTCAACCATTGTAACGAGGGAACTTAAAACCACCTTAAATAATATTCAATTCCTTAAACCTGTCACAGCCCTTTCATACCAGTCTCAGGCTTCCTAACAAAAAGGGTCACAAAAAACCGAACCATTAAACCTCCAGTTGTATGAAACTACAACAACAACAAGAATTTCCAAGAATAATGTACCATATAATACAAAATTTATTTGTGTTCTGTTGTCCATCCTTTAGCCATAAACCACATGGGGCCTTTTAACTTTAAGAGTTATGACTTGTGTGAAGAAAAAATGAGCAACAACAAAAAAAAAAAAAAACGGGAACAAGTGCAAAGAAAAATAGAAGCATCCACAAACCATTAATCAGCAATTAGAGGGTTTTTTTTGTAGGTTGTAGCTAAGGAACGAAGTGTTGGGTTTACAAGCTCAAGGCCAAAATGGATGAAAATTAGATGGAAATAATTAGAGTTGAAGTTTATTAAAGAAGAGGGTATTTTTCTAGGGGTTTAGGGTTGGAGTAATAGAAGATTGAAGATAATTGCATGGTCATTTAAGTATCCATCACTACAAGAGTTATTTCGAATTCGAATTGCCGAACTTTACTAAAAAAAGAAGTTTCCTTGATTTCGTCGGCATTTTAATGCATCTTTAAAGACTGCCTAGTCATATTATAAGCCGATCGTAACACTGGGAATTTATCCATGATTACTGACACTCCAAAGTAGTGTTTTCAAAATATCTTTTCGAAATAACTTTTCCGAAAAATCCTAAATTTAATTTTTAAGGGCTTTTGAAGGCCTAAGGACTTGGAATAAAAAATCATAAAATTTATTTAAACAATAAAATTTCCTTTCGTAGGATTATTTTTATAAGAAGAGTTTTACTCAGACTATGAATCTTTTCAAAGTAGGGTAGGTCTTCCCCTTCCATCAATTTTTAAATTTAATAATTTTTGTTTTTATTTCCATTTCGAAAATTCAGTCCGAATAGTATGGAATTTTGCACGTACGATCAGATTGGACCTGAAAATAAGTATGCCAAATTTCATTGAAATCGGTTCAGATATAGCTATAGCTCCCATATATATTGTTCATCCGATTTGTTATATTTGTCCTCCGCAGCCGTAGTATGCACTCTGTAACAAAAACATTTGGGGAAATATATCAAATGCAGCTCAAAAATACCTTTGCTAAATTTTATCGAGATTGGTTCAGATTTGGATATAGCTCCCATATATAATTTCGTCCAAACGTCTAATAAATGCCCAAATTAGACGAAATTTGGCACTTACGATCGAAGCTAGAAGCTAGTATGTCAAATTTGGTGAGGATCGGTTCAGATATAGCTATAGCTCCCATATATACTGTTCATTTGTCATATTTGTTACCCACAGCCGTAATATGCACTCACTCCGTAACAACGATATTCAGGGAAATATATGAAATACAGCTCAAAAATATCTTTGCCAAATTTTATCGAGATCGGTTCCGATTTGGATTGATTGATTGAATTCTCCCATAAAAACTTTCAATTGTTATGTGGAGCTCTACTAAATTAGCAAAGTGGCGTAGGGTATCATAAACTTTCTTTATTGTTCTTTTTTTAATTTTATTGAATGTCGGAAATAGCATCAAATTTTAGAATAAATTTAGATTTGTTCGAATTGGTCACCTTTGGCACGAATTATGGCCTTCAAACGGCCAATGAAACCGTAACACGCTGCCCGAAAGTTGCTCTGTGGTATTTTGTCCCATTCCCGGCGAAGCGCCTTCTTGAGGTGATCCACACTTTGGTATTTTTTAGTGCCAACCTTGCTTTCCAAAATACTCCAGGCACAATAGTCCAACGGATTGGTATCCAGAGATTTTGGTGGCCATTGTACGCTGGAAATGAAGCGAGGAACCTCATTTTGCAACCATGTTTGGGTGGCGCGAGTGCTGAGTCCCGTTGGAATGTCCAAGGTCTGTGGTCAAAATGTTTGCGTGCCCAAGGCTATAATACACCCTCCAGAATATTTTCGCGATAATATTTGGCATTTATTCTAACGCCACGGTCGATTAGTACGAGCGGAGAGCGACAATCAATCACATTCAAATGCTGTGTTTTCCGAACCAAATATACAGAAATCACACTATCACGCTTGAATTTCATTACGAATAACTTTTTTCTGGAAAATTCTCACCAAAATGCTTTTGTACGCTTGTAAACAATAAAATAAGCTGTCACTGGAATAATTTTAACACCTGTCGGACGAGTGGCTTGGAAATGACAGCAGCCTGACGTTGGTTGCAGTTTATTCATTTCACCCCGCATTTTTTGATAATTTTCTCTTTCGATTTGAGCTTATAACTACCTAAGGAATTGGAATCTAAAATCTTTAAAAAAATTATTTAATCATTAAAATTGCCTTTCGCATGGTTATTTTTTAAAGGGATTTTTACTCAGATTATGAGTATTTTTTATTTTCCTCTTCCATCTGTTTTTAAATTTAAAAGTGGAGAAAGATATAAATGTTTATAAGTGCGGTTGTAAGATTTCGAAGATTTTCCAAAAGAATTCTAGTTTTATTTAATTCTTTGGTTCCTCTTCTATTGAGCTTATAATCTCGTCACTTGGGTAAAAAATGTTTTTTTGTCATAGAAGTTATTTTTAAAATAACTTCTGGGGAGAATATCCCAGACAAATAACAAGGGAACTGATGAGGATTGGTGGCTCTTTCCGAAACCTAGGTATTCCCTGCCTGACCCCCTGGTAAACATTACCATCGTTCTCCACTAATAAACAAACCTTGTTTTTATAAAAACAACAATAAAGGGATAAAGCCTGACCATTTTGCAACAACAAAATACTACGGTATCCCGAACAAACAAGCCACACTGTTCAATTTTTGTTTTTATTTTTTTTTCATTTTAATTATGAGCCGAAATAAATTCCCTCTAATTTTCTCTTAATATTTTGTTAGTAACAGCTAATATTAATTTAATTTTCAAAATTACGAATTATATGTGTTTACTTCGAAAATCCTCTATACTAAAAAGAAAAAGTCGCTTACTTCAAGGTAAAACTTAATTGATTTGTAAAAGCTGGTTGTAAAAAAGAAAAAAACAAAAAAAATACTTAAATCCAGAGCCCACGCCATTACGTCAAGTGCAATGCCGTTGAAAATTTCACTCACAACCAACAGAGAAAAAATAAAAAAAACCATTCATGCACAGAAAAATAACATTACTTTTAATTTACTTTGTTAGGGAATACACCTGGAGCACAACACATCGGCGCGTGTAATACGCTCTAATCAGAGTTTGGTGTTGCAAAAAATTACGAAACACTATGCGGGAAATTATGCATGCAGCGCCATCAATGATGAAGGAGAGACTGTCAGCAACCAACTGCCGTTACGTGTTAAATGTAAGTATGCACACAAGTTTAAAATATATATCACACACACAAGCACATATATATATAGACATTAATATATACACACACATACACTATACAGATATTTCTTATTGAATCATATTATGCACTCTCTACCTCCGTAGCTTCCCAAGTCTCGTGGAGGGCGGAGTGATGTCAGGTGTAGTTGTTGGGGAAGTAACGCATACTGTATTTTATACACGTATTATCTACATTTTTGAATGCCTAATTTTGGGTTGGTTTCTGCAAAGGTGTGTGTGTGAGAGTGTGTGTTTTTCTTTTACGTTCTACGTGAGTCTGTGAAAGTCGCAGATTCCAAGGGAGTCAATGCCTGATTTTGTCTGTCTCATTTTATTCGAAGAATTCCTTAAATATAAGGAAATTGCATTAAGCAAAAAAAAAAAAAAAAAAAAAAAAAAAAATCGAATGACGGCAAAATTATCTCGAAAACAGAGGAAGAAGAGGAAGAACAAGAAAATACCGGTATTTTTCAAAAAATCGCTACAATGTACAGTGGTCCCAAATCATGACAAAATTTTATTGAACAAGTAAAAAAACATTAAGTTCGGTCGGGGCGAACTTTTAATACCCTCCACCTTAGGGTAAACGAAACATTAGAACCCATTGTGACCCACAAATAACAATTTTTAGACATATTCGTGAGAAAATGTCGCAAAAATCATCAAAATGCCGGGAGGTACCGATATATGGGGCTATACAAAAACGTGAAATATTTTTAAAAAATATTTTTTCAATGGCTATTATTAAACGTGGATTTTCTTAAAAATATTTTTTCAGGGCAACTATTAAATGTGGATATTTTAAAAATATTTTTTCAAAGGCTATTAATAAACGTGGATTTTCTTTGTTTTTTTTTTTTTTTCAGAGGATATTAATAAACGTGGATATTTTAAAAATATTTTTCAAGGGCTATTAACAAACGTGGATTTTTTAAAAATATTTTTTCAAGGGCTATTAATAAACGTGGAGTTTTTAAAAATATTTTTGCAATGGCCATGAATGAAAGTGGATTTTTAATTTTTTTTTTTTCAAGGGCCATGAATGAACGTGGATTTTTTAAAAATATTTTTCCCAGGGCCATGAATGAACGTGGATTTTTTAAAAATATTTCTTCAAGGGCCATGAATGAACGTGGATTTTTTCAAAACAAAAAATGTTAAAGGGTCATGAATGAACCTGGATTTTTTAAAAATATTTTTGCAAGGGCCATGAATGAAACTGCATTTTTTAAAAATATTTTTTTCAAGGGCCAAGAATGAACGTGGATTTTTTAAAAATATTTTTTTCAAGGGCCAAGAATGAACGTAGATTTTTTAAAAATATTTTTTCCAGGGCCATGAATGAACGTGGATTTATTAAAAATATTTTTCCAGGGCCATGAATGAACGTAGATTTTTTTAAAAATATTTTTTCCAGGGCCATGAATGAACGTAGATTTTTTAAAAATATTTTTTCCAGGGCCATGAATGAACGTGGATTTTTTAAAAATATTTTTCCAGGGCCATGAATGAACGTAGATTTTTTAAAAATATTTTTTCCAGGGCCATGAATGAACGTGGATTTTTTAAAAATATTTCTTCAAGGGCCATGAATGAACGTGGATTTTTTAAAAAAAAAAAATTTTAAAGGGTCATGAATGAACGTAGATTTTTTTAAAAATATTTTTTCCAGGGCCATGAATGAACGTAGATTTTTTAAAAATATTTTTTCCAGGGCCATGAATGAACGTGGATTTTTTAAAAATATTTTTCCAGGGCCATGAATGAACGTAGATTTTTTAAAAATATTTTTTCCAGGGCCATGAATGAACGTGGATTTTTTAAAAATATTTCTTCAAGGGTCATGAATGAACGTGGATTTTTTCAAAAAAAAAAATTTTAAAGGGTCATGAATGAACCTGGATTTTTTAAAAATATTTTTTCAAGGGCCAAGAATGAACGTGAATTTTTTAAAAATATTTTTGCGAGGGCCATGAATGAATGTTGATTTTTTAAAAATATTTTTTCAAGGGCCATGAATGAACATGGATTTTAAAAAATATTTTTTTCAAGGGCCATGAATGAACGTGGATTTTTTAAAAATATTTTTCAAGGGCCATGAATGAACGTGGATTTTTTAAAAATATTTTTTCCAGGGCCATGAATGAACGTAGATTTTTTAAAAATATTTTTTCCAGGGCCATGAATGAACGTGGATTTTTTAAAAATATTTTTCCAGGGCCATGAATGAACGTAGATTTTTTAAAAATATTTTTTCCAGGGCCATGAATGAACGTGGATTTTTTAAAAATATTTCTTCAAGGGCCATGAATGAACGTGGATTTTTTCAAAAAAAAAAAAATTATAAAGGGTCATGAATGAACCTGGATTTTTTAAAAATATTTTTGCAAGGGCCATGAATGAACCTGCATTTTTTAAAAATATTTTTTCAAGGGCCAAGAATGAACGTGAATTTTTTAAAAATATTTTTGCGAGGGCCATGAATGAACGTTGATTTTTTAAAAATATTTTTTCAAGGGCCATGAATGAACGTGGATTTTAAAAAATATTTTTTCAAGGGCCATGAATGAACGTGGATTTTTTAAAAATATTTTTCAAGGGCCATGAATGAACGTGGATTTTTAAAAAAAAAATTTAAAGGGTCATGAATGAACCTGGATTTTTTAAAAATATTTTTGCAAGGGCCATGAATGAACCTGCATTTTTTAAAAATATTTTTTCAAGGGCCAAGAATGAACGTGAATTTTTTAAAAAATATTTTTGCGAGGGCCATGAATGAACGTTGATTTTTTAAAAATATTTTTTCAAGGGCCATGAATGAACGTGGATTTTAAAAAATATTTTTTCAAGGGCCATGAATGAACGTGGATTTTTTAAAAATATTTTTCAAGGGCCATGAATGAACGTGGATTTTTTAAAAATATTTTTTCCAGGGCCATGAATGAACGTAGATTTTTTAAAAATATTTTTTCCAGGGCCATGAATGAACGTGGATTTTTTAAAAATATTTTTTCCAGGGCCATGAATGAACGTAGATTTTTTAAAAATATTTTTTCCAGGGCCATGAATGAACGTGGATTTTTTAAAAATATTTTTACAAGGGCCATGAGTGAACCTGCATTTTTTAAAAATATTTTTTCAAGGGCCAAGAATGAACCTGCATTTTTTAAAAATATTTTTTCAAGTGCCAAGAATGAACGCGAATTTTTTAAAAATATTTTTGCGAGGGCCATGAATGAACGTTGATTTTTTAAAAATATTTTTTCAAGGGCCATGAATGAACGTGGATTTTAAAAAATATTTTTTCAAGGGCCATGAATGAACGTGGATTTTTTAAAAATATATTTTCCAGGGCCATGAATGAACGTAGATTTTTTAAAAATATTTTTTCCAGGGCCAAGAATGAACGTGAATTTTTTAAAAATATTTTTGCGAGGGCCATGAATGAACGCTGATTTTTTAAAAATATTTTTTCAAGGGCCATGAATGAACGTGGATTTTAAAAAATATTTTTTCAAGGGCCATGAATGAACGTGGATTTTCTAAAAATATTTTTCAAGGGCCATGAATGAACGTGGATTTTTTAAAAATATTTTTATGAATATATATACTTTATGGGGTCTAAAACGAATATTAAGGGATGTTAAAAACGGAATGACAAAGTTAATATACCCTCCTTCCAAGGTGGGGGGTATAAAGATTATGCTTAAAATTTTAAAAATTACGAACATCAAGTGATTCTGTTATATGGGGCTATAGGAAAACGTGGTCCTCTATAGCCAATGATCTACCAACGAGGACAGTTCCTATTACGAAATCAAAATACCAACAGTGCTATAAACGAAGGCATATATCCACACATTTTCCGTCATTAGAAGAAATACCCCTTGGCGAACTCAAAATTTTCAATTTCAAATAATTTTGATGAAAATGGAGATAAAATTATCAAAATAGGGGGGTATCGTTAAATACAAATAAGTGGACGTGTATAAGCAATTCTCTTTCATTCGCAGTGGTATCCAAGTACCAAATTTAAACGAAGGCGTAGATCTGCACATTTCCGTCATTGGAAGAAGTACACCTTGGCGATTTTAAAATGTTTAACTTCGAATAATTCTTATACCCTACAACACTATGTGTTGGGGGTACTATAAGTTTGATTGGGCCAAAAATTATGTCTGTCCATGTTAATTTGTAATCACTTTACAGCTCGCAATTATGAACCGATCCTCACGAAATTGAAAATGGAGGTGGGGTTATGGTCAGAATAGAACCCTATTGTTTTTGGAGATGATCGCACGATATTTAGGGGTTGAAATGGACGAAAAACAGAAAAATTTCCTGATTTTGCAGTTGCTCTATAGGTCACAATTATGAACCAATCGACGCGAAAATTTACATGGAGTTAGAGTTTGGGACTGGGCAAAAACCTACCAATTTGAGCGGTCATCGGACAATAATTAGCGGGTAAAATAGACCCTAACTTTTATGTTAGAAAATATGAAAATTTCCACTAAACCGCGAATATTTTTAATCCCAGCCAAATCAAAAATACATTAAAAAATCACTTCTGACCATTACAGTGATGCTAATAGCCAAGAAATCGGATATATAGAAAAATAGGTACAATATATATGTAAAATAATTGATCTTATTTATTCTGCTTATAAATGAAGAACCGCTGGGCCGATTTTTACAATTCAGATCAATACGGAATGGTTTCTTGCCAGAAAAGGATAAAATCTAAGAAAATCGCAGTATAATATACCAATAAAAAGTTATATCTTATGTTTCATTTTTTTTTTCCATTTTTTTTCCATTTTTTCTTATTTTTTTTATCGCATGGAATTTTTAAATTTGACTTACAATTTTGAATTTTCTAAATTTTTACACCCCCAACACTACGTTTTGAGGGTATTATATGTATTTCGCAATTATCGTCCGATCTTCACGAAATTTTGCATGAGGGTG